TTTACTAGTGTCTTGCATTAGGCTGACATCCAGAGAGGTCTTGTGGATTTTAAAAGGGTCTCGAACATTTTGGCTGATAATCCGTCGATCGGCAGCTGATATACTCTCTGGAGATATTTTAAACAGATCAGGGCCATTTAATAATGCGCAGCGTTTCCACCAATCAAGATTTGATAGCGCCGACCCGTACATGGTCGTCGCTACTGTAAACTGTAAGGTTCCTTAAATACTGGATTAGGCACTTCTCCTTCGGGTCAGCCAATTCTGAGTAGATAAATCTGTCAATTTCACGCCAATTAATTTTCCTGGAAGGTTCATAATACGCCGCTTTGTACTCTGTACTAGACAAGAGAAGCTTGATGTGCGAGCGCAGCTTTTCTGATGCCTCTGTACTCGTCGGCGAGCCATCAGCTGACGCTGCAATTTCACGGTCGTATAAGAGTGCACACAGCAAGTGTTGACTCATGCTAGTACGCCGTTGTGAGTCACAAAGACATAGCACCCCGCGCCCTCCGTATTCCTTGCTGCTTAGTAACTACCACTCATCCCCTTTGTCCATTAATGGTGCGAGCATCGATGTTTGATATCGTTTATTGTGTGCATTTAACCCATTCGTCAAACATGTTGAAGTAGGAAGGTACAGGGGTTATTTTTGATGCGCATTTGTCCATTATATAAAACTCTCGACGCATCTCGGTCATCTACTGTACCATGACAGACTCATTAAATGATGTCAAAAACTATTCAGGAAGCGCGAACCGCTAAACCAGCTGCAACAATTGCTCTGGGCGCGTATCTAGTCACCTGCTGCCACTCACTTGTGGAGATGACGGCAGTGGGAAAAAGGATATGGTCAGGATGGTGACATTCGGCTCCTTGTAGGTCCCACGCGGCCTCCCAATCCTCATATCAATCCGTTCAAAATTGTAATACGAAGTGACATGTCTTGTGACGAACATACTGCTTCCCTTTGTTCTACGACTGCCTTGTTGTGCCAGGACCGTACTATAGTGCCGTCTGTATCACGGTCCTCGGGAATAGAGACATGGCCATGTTTTCGAGCGACGTCGGAAGAGTGTCGCGCTGTGTGAGGAGGTGTCGTAGGCAGAGACGAAACCTTTTTTGTGGTGTCCCTGATGGCGAGAGCCTGACTGCTTGGCTGAGGGATCGTACATGAGGCAGGTTCGCCCCTGTCTCACCTAATGTTGATAAAGAGTCACTTCCCTCGTCGTGGTCTTCATCATCTAATGGTGCGATGTTCTGTTCCGTTTGTAACTGAAAAAGTAGTGCACCTTCTTGTTTCCCTATAGCATCTTAGTCGAAAAACTCGAGTGATTCCAAGGTTTGAGCAGCATTTGGGTCCACCTCCGGTTCACAGTCTAGTACCAGCCCAGATAGAACAGCGTGGATAAAAGCCGAGTAATGACGATCCATATATCTGGGACTAAGCGGCGGAATATCCAGTAATGCTGTCTTCACCGCGATAATATCGTCGAGTAGCTCTTAAATTAAAGACGGGTGCTCCGTAGCACTGTCAACAACGCGATAATTGCGAGTTATCGTTGTTGGGACAAACGTTAGGCATCTCCACTCCGTTATGGCTTCATCTAAATATTGCACATTGTAGATGGTTCGATGTAAGAAATGTGCCGCTATTCGAACGACTTAACTTCTGCCCCAGGTGTATTCGCTGACGTCGTCCGTCTGTCCAGATGGGCCGGAAGCACAATCTTTTTATAGCCAGCTATTGTAAGACGCTGACCCCTGTGGTGTCATCGTGATCCACCCGCTTTTGACATTGGCTTGTGTGTGCTTACGGTAATCATAAAAGAGTTAGTCTTCATGGTGGAGCAGCCCTGAGCATCGAATTCCACTTTATAAACTGGACCTAAAACTTTCAGGCGTCAAATAAAACCATACAGATTGCTGTCCGCCGCCGTTTGGGCAATCGCCATTGCCAGACTTTTTCCAGTTCCTAAAGTAACTACTGTCCGGATACCAAGTTGTTTTTTTTCAGCTCGGGAATTATTGTCGGTAACGTTGTGGCGCTGAACTCTAAGGAAAAAGCTGGCGCCGCTGGGTCTTGGGATTAAGCAATGCTTTGACAAAATGTTTTGCGCTCTTTTCTCTAAGATATTGAAAGCACCGGTACTGTCACAGTCGGGGCTGGCCCCCGGGCTGTCCCGGCGGATTATCGAAGTGTTTCCTTCTCAGTCAGAGGCGCCCTGTTTAAATGCCCGTGGCTTTGCTGGGGCTTCTGTGATAAATCAGTCGTGGAAGACGCCTTAGACGTACCCGTTTTGTTTGTATCAGTAGCTTCCCTGTCTTCCGTCTCCTCTTCGTCATCAGTCAACGCCTGGTAATCAGACACCTTGGCTGTTGGACGAGAATTAGCCCGAAAGAGAGTAGCACATAGTGGACGCCCCGCCTCCCTTTTGCGTCATCCAAGGTTGCTTGGTTGGTGGGTTCAGTTGCCGTTGTGCATGATCAAACTTTGCATCTTGTTTCTGTCTGCCGTGTTCTACTGGTTGCGCTGGTACGGGACAAAGCGGGGTCTTGAAAATCATGAGACACACCACTAAATGCAGCCGGGGTTACAGCTGCCTAAGCCGCATCTTCGTTTGCATGGTGAACTTGAAGCCTTTTTTTGCAGCCATTGCTTTCATTTTCATAGTGCTAAAGATGGGTCTCGCGAGTTCAGCGAGCCCTTGGAGGTCGTGTTCCGTAACAACATTCCCCCAGGCCCTTTTAATTGATCTTCCGTAAAATCTCTATGTACCAAAGGATGGCCAAGATTGCCACATTGGAGGCATCGTAAACGGTGACCAACTGTCGAATGTTTGACGACTACCGTTGTTTCAACTATAACATTCGAACCACCTATGTAGAAATGTGGGCCAGACTGCGAGCTTAAACGTGACCCTCCAAACCCTTAAAGTTCGAGGTTCAGGGTTATACGTATCCACATCATCTATATAAACTCTGACGGAATCTTTGCATTTAGGAAAGCCGCAATGCATCTAATATCACTGAAGCGAGAAGGGTATGAATTTGCACAACGTATTCAACACGACGCGCAATCGCCGGTCCACTTATTTTGTGCTATTGTTGCCACACAGATCCGCGATCAGTCCGATGTTCATATCGCAAACGGTACACACTTCCATAAAATGGCACGCGAAGATCTCGTTGAGCCTTTGCTGCATACCTGGTAAAGAAAAGAAATGGATGGACTTGGTTACCGGATCACAACTGATCGTCTTCGTCTGGTAGAGCAAATCGTGCAGTTCCTGCAAATTGATCCTCGCGAGCTCGGATGTTATAGGAATTGATTCTTTGATCTCTTTGGTGGGTTTTTGAGTCACTTTGATCGAATAAATCTACCCAGATGAAGAACTAGCCCCCCTTCTACTTGAGCCTAAATGTTACTGTGCAGGCGTAGGCGCTCCTTACTCTTTAAGGCATGCTGCATGAACGCAAATAATTATAGTCGTCTAAAGTCTAATGGTCTTTACACTCGGCCGACAATTACTGCCCATTCACCGTCTTTCAAATATCACACGTAGTAAGGGCCTGTCACGGGCATTAATCGTTCACAAAGGGCTCTCAGTCGGGTGATCTCGTCACACGAGAATTTTGCCGGGTAAAACATGTAGTCATCAAATGATGGCTTGACTGTGCTGTGCTGCCGTACGCTTGGTGCCGATCCTCCTTGTCGAACGACCTTTGACCACTAGTCCAGCTCCGAGCCTGATCCCATTTGTGCTGACTAGAAAACTTTCGCACAATTCCTTTAAACGCCCGTTCAATCGTGAGGAGGTCGGGCGTTATGGACTGTCCCAATTGTATTCAGCTCAAGGAATTGCCACAAGCTTTGACAACAACCTGGTTGAATAAACCCACTAACCTTTGTGCCTCAGCCGCCGTTAGTGTTGGAAACAGCTTTTTCTCCACAGAAAGGGCCTCTAAATTATTAAATACCGTGTTGTATACGGATGCGGAGAAATGTTGCACTGTCGTGATCTATGCTTCGACTTGTCGGAAATTCGGAGCTTCATCCATTTTCACCACAAACGCAGTGAACATTTTCTCCGGAGTTGCGCTTAGCCGGCTAGCCCGTTGCCTCTGACATGCGTCATCATTGCCCACTGGCTGTGTAACAGAGCGCGCGCTCTGAGCCCTGTCCTCTGTTTTGCCATCTTGCCCTGTAGGTGAGATGGAGGAGGTGTCGGCCGTGTCACCCCCTTACCATCCAGGCAGAGGTAGGCCAGTTGGGGCATTGTGAGCGCTGTACGCGGTATGTGGGTCTATTGCTCCGTTTATGCTCCCCCTAATCAGTTGTTGATCTCTGCGTAGCAGATTAGGTGGTAAATACCGAACTTTAGATCTACTTTTTGTCCGAGGGTCTGTGAATCTATAAGATAAGACGAGGTGTGCACCTTCACGTCTTAAAAAGTGCGATGTACAGATATCTAGCCAATCTATTCCCTTCTGAACAGGATATATTGCTATGTAGGATAATGATTTGATCCACCGATTCCGTTCCTGTATAAATGTAAAGGGTACATTTGATAATTACAAATTATGTAGTTAATGAATAATCTCGTCCAAATTAATAACATTGGTTTAAAACTTGGGGCACGGGCACGGGCACAACCGTTACACGGAACTGATCTAAGTTCAAAATTACGTCTTTATATAGTTCAAAATGTAAATTTTTAATGGATTATTATATAAAACGGTGGCTGCGTAAAATAACTTGGAATATTAAGCGTACTAATAAAATCACTATATAGTCGTCATGGCATTCTACAGTTTCATGGTTGGTGCCACAATAAGTAATTACGAATTAGCGTCTTTTTAAGTAAGTTCTCCTTTTCTACCCTCAGCTCCTCGAGAAATCGCTGCTGTAATGTACGCATCCCTCCCATGACAAGTCTCTCTAGATCTGGATAGTTACCGAGCACCAAAATGACGGCTTGGAATGCGTCAACCTTGTCTTAGGCTCTGATATCTGTATGCGTGTTTGTCACACCTTCTCTTGTCAACTCCAGATCTTTAAAGTCCTTGCTCTCTTGGGTCGTGAGCAAAAATTCCTTTTCCGCTACTTCGCTGAGCAGGTCTTTGGCAATTAGCGCTTTCACCTCCGTGTCGGTATCAGCGGTGCAGTATATGAATTCGTTCAGGTCCATCGGGTCGCGGATGCGTAGCTGACGCATTTGTGCTTGCAGGCTGGTGTTCAGCTGGTCATCAGAGTCATTGCGCAATCTGCGAGTGGTCGTGCGGCCGAGCACGAGCCCTGTGTGCCGAAAGCAGTTCAAAATAGCATTGCTTGGAACGTCACGCCAGCAGGATTTTATCCACTTTATCGACGTGAGCTGGTTTAAAGTGTAGATACTTCTCTTTAATCCTCGTTTCTCTAAATCCAAAGTCTGCTCGAGCTAAAGATGCTAGTATCGTCGCTTGTATGAGGCGATGATACTGGCATCCATGGGCTGCAGCTTTGCGGTCGTATTTGAATGAAGAATCACGACTTTCACGCTTTTTAACTCCATACCATACCGTATGTGCCGATGCATTATAGAGAAGAAGAACCATGTTTCGTTTTTGAGCGTGCTTGTCGTTGTCAAGATCATGCAGCCACTCTCGAAGTAGGAAACCTGTCATCCACGTCTTGAATATGCTGCGATAGTTGAAGCCAAGTTGGCCCCCTTTATTCATGGGGAAACAATGCGGCTTTTGGCGCGACTAATGATTAGGGGCTGGCGCTTGTACGAGCCGTCAGCGTTGCACATCAGAGCGACTATCACAAAAGTCTTGCTCTTCTTCGATACTACCACTTGTCGTTAGGCAACAATCTTACAGGGCGCAAGGCAGTAGAACAGTCCTGTTTCATCCATGTTGTAAATGTCAGCAAGTGGGGCTCCTTTCAGACGCTCCCGAATGGCATCGCGCTGCGCGGAGATCTTCTCCGAGTTAACGGATCCGCTCTAACCGTAGGTGCAAATTGCTTAAAGACGTCACGTGCCTGGAAAAATTGGAGCCAAACATTCGAATAAAATAGTAGCTGGTCTTTTTTAATACCGCTTATTGTGCAAATTGCCTTGCTCTACCTAAATTTGATCCCGGGAAGGCATCACGCGCTTGGATTGAAACTGCAGCACCCAATTCGCTAGGGCTTCACTGACTGCAGGAAATGCCAGTACTCGGGTCCGCTTACTCTTGAGGTCGAGGTCCATCACGTGCAGATACTTCTGACGATCACACAGAATGCCGTAGATCGTTTCCTGGACTGGTGCTATGAAGAGACCGAACTCGCAGTTCGCCTTAACTGCCGGGTGCGACTGTGTAAGCCTTGTGTTTGCGTTATGCCACTGGCAGATCTTTTTTTCTTATCAAACGTCAGGTCACTAATCTGTTAGAGGCGCGACGGCATCGTTGTTTAAAAGGCAATTTAGCAAAGTGAAAACTGATTCATTCACTTATGTATTTCATATCTAGTGTAAGTGCTTTTGCTTTGCTGTCCACTCATTTTGTATTGATATTGGTTGGAGCAGCGAGTTCTTTCCTATCTCTGTGATGGTGTCATCATTCCAAAAGTAGTGGGCGTCACTGCTGGCAGGCAGTGCTGGTGAATCATGCACACCAGAACCTGAAGGCTTAACGTACTATTTTTGCTCGTACCCGGTTCTCGAATCAGTGACCTCTCGGATGGTGCTGCCACACCAACCTAGTTGGGCTACAAGCGTGCACGAAATACGTCACACACAACTCTTTTTTTGAGTTGTGTACACAAGAGTTACACACGCTCGCTCAAATAAAACCCAGGCATATATATCTACACTTCAATGCATATGCACAACGTATCACAAACAAACTGTAGCGCAAATACTTGATTGACGCGTCGCTTGACTTGGAATTGTACTTAGATTAGGTGCTGAACACACAATTTAGGCTCTTTTACTGTTTTTGATGGCTGCTTATAATTGGAGGGTGTTTGCACCTCTAAGATTTGATGATATTGCTATATATGATATACTTGTGGTCCACGTTTAATATTGGATATGGCAGGTTAATCTGTAGTCTGTTCTCTCAAAAATAGGTAAATATGCATCATTGGTGTCACTCTTTGCGCATGTCACAAGTTGCGACCGCATACAGAATGAAGTCGCTACGGACCCATAAATGCCAGTACATAACTAGCTTGAAAATGACCAAAGGCGAAAAGAGGGCGAACAAAAGCAAATGCTCGGCACTTCGTGGCTCGCACCGTCGGCAAACAGTATTCGTGAGATGTTGTTCCTGCAATTACTATGTGGTTGACACGCAGTCGAGGCACCTCAAGACACAAACAGGAACCGATCAAAGGACACAGGCATCTTCACTTATGATCCACCAACTCTTTACGAATCGTACTATGCACCCAACCTTTGCTTATTTTCTTTCCTTCCTTTTATACTACTGGACACCATTCAATCGTCACTCGCCGTTCAATCACAGTCGCCTACCAAGTTTAGCATAGGAATGTGCCCTACATCTACGAACGAGTTTTGCATAGGAAATAGCTCCAGTGTCCAGGAGATACCTTCCGGTCTTCCACACCGTCATCTGCCAGATGGGATGTCGACGTCCAGTACTCCCTCTGTTAGACTCAGGTTCTTTCAGCGGGCCACTTTTACCTCGGGCTAAAGTTCTCCCTGCCCTTGTAGCTCAATAGACATTGCAACGCCCCTCATACGAACAAAGTACACGATCCCATCACACACTGCACACATGTAACACAAAGCTACACTCACCACAACGCTAGTAAACAGACACTAGAAACACAGCCTCGGATGTATATTTAGACATAGTGCCCAGTCTGAGCCGCCATAGCTTCTGCGTTGTTATGGTGATACATACCGACAGCTATAGCGCTGAACACTAATATGGCCAGCAGCAGAACGCTGTACGCGACCTTGATAGCCGTGAAATCTCCACTAGCAGGGATCCCCTTAATTAGCGCCTGGATTTTCCCAATGAGTCCGCCCTTTGTCTCGTCCACCACGGCGGGGTCCGTGGCTTCGCCAGTCTTAGTCTTGTCGAGCTCTCCTTCCGCTTTCACTGCTTCGCCGACGCCCGCGTCCTTTGTCACGCCAGGCATCGGTTCGACAGCCTTCGTAACAACCGGAACGTGCAGATCCTTTGCTATGGTCTCCCCTTTCTCAACCAGTGCAGGGGTCGGCTTGAAAGCCTCAACGATAGCAGCGCTCTTGCCCGTAAAGAAGGCCCGGATATTTTCTAACATTCGGTTCTCGTCCTCGTGGTCGACCACGGTCTTGGTCTCAGTGCGGGTCGGGTCGAGGTTGCGACGATTGATCGAGCGCATGGTATGGACGTTGTTTTCAGCGCCATCGTCAGTGGTGACCAGACCGCTGATACATCCTGCAGTGGCGAAGAGGATGAGGAGGACGAGAGGTAAGAAGGAGCGGCGATGCATGCGATCGGGTGCGACCATAGATGGATGGAGATGTGGACGAGGTTGGATCAAGCGAGTGCTGGGATCTCGATTCGGAACTGCAGTGGACAAAGGCCCTTCTCTCTTTGCTTCCCTTCTCTCCTCAATTCATTGTCACGCGCTACGTCCCAACCATCAACTTGATGTCCGGAGCAGCTGATCGGCTAGCAGTTCCAGTTGCATTGACAAGCCATGCGTACAAAAGAGCTCCGATAATTAGCCTCACGGATCGAGCCGCAAGTCGTTTTTGTACGTACGGTTGAAGTAACGCTAGGTCTTTTGGACAGAAAAGGTGACACAAGCGCTCAGAGCAGATGATCCGATAGGAACCGCCTGGCAGACGCCACTTGTGCGACGTTGAACTAGTCGATTGACCTCGGATAGAGAACAGCCACTATGCCCTTTTTGTCAGGGAAGCGATGTATCTCACCACCCTTTTGTAGCCATGAGAGGACACGAGGAGGATCACTGACGCTTTTATTTACAGAGCTTTGTAGAGACATGGACACCTATGAGTACACTATGGAGAGCACGAGTGCTCGAGAGAGGAATATTCGACTCGATGTGATCGCAAAATCTAGAGAACTTTGACTTGTGACCCATTCAATTTGCAGAGTTGCCATTGTCTGCAGTATCTTTCCGCCTGTACCTGATGGGATGCAGCATGCAGCATGCACTTTTGATCGTTGGTCATGCAGATATGTGCCGAATAAGTTAGAAGTCTTGATGCATCAGGGTCAATGCAAAAATCTACATTTAACCTGATAGGATCAGTGTGGTGATCTGTTTCCAGTTCAATGCGTCGACATCGAGAAGCTGGAAGGAGATCTCAAGCGGATCGGTTCGATGACCAAGATAGCCGAGTCGTCCGCAGTAAATGTATGGACCCTGCGTACAGTTATATCATAAACTATGAGTGGAAACCTCAGCCGTCATCAAGTGATTGGTGCGTATGCTGACAAACCTTGGGATACTGGATGAAAAGCAGGAGTGGCTCTGGCTTTTCAGAGCTATGACGACTCAGCGGGTCGTCATAGCTCTTGTCAACGCGTAGGGACTCTTCACCTTTTTGCAACTGGGAGATGCGGTACAAGACTAGCGGCGTGACATCTTGACACCGAGTCCATCGGAACGAAACGTACGTGCGACCGTGCACCTCGTTTTCTTCAAACATGGAGCGATAAAACATCCCCGTTGTGCCGTGTACAAAAAGCGTCATTGCGTTCTTCCAGACATGAACATCGACATCGTGTCGGAAAGATGCAGTGTATCCTCCTGGACACACACCTTGCATGACAGAGTGTCGACCAGGCGGTAAAAACTGCTTTCCCAACGAAAATGCGTGGAACAGGTTCGCGTCCACTTTCAGCAACGGGGTCACCACCACTGGCTTTGTACTGCGTCCTTCACTCCGGTCTGCAATGTGCACGAAAGGCAGAGGTAGTTTCCGCACCGGATACATCTCCTTGTCTCGATCCTCTTCCCTCTCTCGTTCTCTCTTGAGCCTCCCCGCCAGAACCGCGCGCATCTGTTCATTCAACTCAACTTTTTTCATCGCCACCTGCTTCAGTTTCCTCTCTTTTGCCTCCTGCTTCACCAATTGCCGCGCTGCACGGTCTTCCATCCTCATCAACTCGCCTTCTTCCGTCCTTCGCTGCAGCTCCAGCTCCTTAGCCACTAGTCGAGCAAGTTGCACACTCTCCTTCTGTCTCTGACAAATCTTCCGTTCTTGCAGCTGCCTCTTGTGCCTCTTTTTCTTCTCCCGCACCCGCTGCACGCTTCGCTCCTCTCGCAACTTCACCGTCGCCCGTCTCTTCTCTTCTCGAGCCTGCACCTTTCTCCGCGCTCTCCAGTCGACACTACCGATTCCCTGCTCCTGTTCCAAGTCCTGCAAGTCATCCATGTTCCCTTGCCTTACGTCCGCGACCTCTTCAATCTTATTATGATTCCTATCGATTATCGAAGGGTCGACGGTTTCAAATGGTTGTCTCACAAGTCGGTTCCCTTGTTCCAGCTGTTTCAGCGTCGCGTTCTCCCCTACCCGCGTGCACTTCTTTCGGTCGTCGATTAATCGCTGGTTAAGTTGCTCAGTCTCCACATAGCGCTCCTTACGTTGCCGCAACGACTTGCGTCGGGGCTCCTGGAATCGCTGCTCCTGGACTTGTCGTTTTTGCGTTTTCCGCGTAATGACTGGAGGACAAATGGGAGCTAGAGACGGCATCTGAAGTGCCTGGAGTTTGTCGTGGTTTGCGGCGATTCGGCGCAGACGCTTGGCCTCGTACTCGCTCACAGCTGGGAATGTAGCCATTCTTTATAAATTGACTGATAACGACTGGCACGAAAGGGTGCGTGGAGAAGAGGCACGTGGATTTGAGCAGATCCGAAAATGGTGATGGGTTGGTTTTGGAAGGAGGAAGGGATCGAATGGTCGAAATAACTCTGTGACAATCTGTTTAGTCGGGAGGTTTCCATGGCAAGTCAAACTGATAAAATGAGCCAACGCTCGTCAAGGCAAATTCAACAAACAGAACCCAAGAACTCGCTCTTCCTCTTGAGCTTTCGAGGCATTCCTCATCAATGGACAACAAAAGCAAATTGTTAAATACATGGACTCTTTCAACGCGCCTGGTTGCAAGCACCAACCCACATTGGGTTCACATGCTGCCTTTCGATACCATCCACCTCTTGTTTCACGCGTCGGCATCAGGCAGGGGGTTTATTGTGCTGGAACTTCGCTGTTTCAACCCCTGCAGCATCCAAACTCCTTCAAATAGCTGCAGCAGCATCGGCATCGCGTTTTTGAATCACTTGATCCGCCTGAATCGCAGTAATCGCTACCGTTGTCACAATGTCCTTTACCGTAGCTCCTCGACTGAGATCGTTCACGGGTTTGCGGAGACCTTGTAGCATAGGACCCATTGCAACGCAACCGGTACTCTGCTGCACGGCCTTGTACGTATTGTTGCCAGTGTTGAGATCCGGGAAGATCAGCACGTTCGCTTGACCCCCCACTCTCGCACCACTTGGAATCGCCCTGAGTTTCGTCTTTGCAATCGATGCATCGACTGCAGCATCGTACTGAATCGGGCCGTAGATATCCAGGTCTGGCCGCAATTCCTGTGCAATCTTCGTCGCTTCCCGCACCTTTTCCACAATCGGACCCGAGTTCGAGTCTCCCGTTGCATACGAGAGCAGTGCTACCTTCGGGATCAACCCAAACGCCTCGGCGCTTTCGGCACTTGTGACAGCAATCTGAGCCAAGTCTTGTGCACTTGGATCCGTATTGACTGCACAGTCACCGTAGATTCGCACGCCATCCTCAAGGCACATGAAGAAGATGCTGGATACAATCGGACGGTTCGGTGCTGTCTTAATGAGCTGCAACGCTGGACGAATGGTGTTGGCAGTCGTGTGGCAGGCACCTGAGACCATCCCATCGGCACCACCCATTTCGACCATCATCGTCCCGAAACACGTCTCTTCCAGTACAGCATCCCGAGCTGTCTGACGGGTTACACCCTTATGCTTTCGCTTCTCGTAGTACACGTTCACGTAATGCTCTAGCAAGTCACTCTCTGCAGTGCGTACAATATTTGCACTTGACAAGTCGAGGTTAAGAGCCTTTGCGTGGCGACATATCTCGTCGGGATTGCCTAGAATCGTCACCTTGGCCAGCTTCTGACGCAGCACTTGATCTGCTGCTTGCAGCACTCGAATGTCTTCACCTTCTGTGAGCACGATATGACGCTGAACAGCACGTGACTTGCGAAACAAAAAGTGCTGGAACTGTTTCGGAGAGCGGTTGACGACCATGCCTTCATCGAGCTCTCCAATGAGGTTCGCCTTGTCCACAAACTCGTCAAAGAGCTGCTTTGAACGGTCAATCTTGAGCTGACTCGTGGGCAAAATGTCCGTCGACATCTTGGAAAACTTGTCAGCCGTTGTGAACGTGTCTTCAGGCACTGAGAAGATTGGAATCGAGAGACCCGTATTGTCCAGAGCTTCAACGCCTTTGAGAATCTCTTGTGTATTGCTGTGGGGGTAGCTGCCATTCGTAAGCACGATAGCTGATACGTTGGGCAAAATACCAGGCAGTCTCGAAACCATCAACCCGAGCATCACATCCGAGCGGTCAGCTGACGTAATGACCAAAGCTCCATCCTTGTAGTTCTTCAAGTGCGAAAACAGATCCTTGAGCGCGCTCGTGGCCACAACAGCCGAGGTCACCACGACGTGGTTGGGAATGGCTTTCGTGCCAAACAATTGCTTGGCTCCCAATTGATGCGTCACTTCGTTCAGTCGCTTGGATGCGATAAAGTCATCATGAGGGAGGAAGCCTAGAAATGGTAACCCCTTCTCACGCACTCTCGACCGCAAAGCAGTGCAAAGAGCTCTCGGGTCCTTCACCTCGACTCGATTGCCAATATGACCAATGTAAGTGAGCCCCGTGCTTTCCACTTGATCCGCATTCAGTGCCGTCCGATTCAGAATCTCTTCCATCAACTCAGCATCCGAAGTAGCGCCTGCCTCACTAAAGTCCGAGATCGTCAACACAGGCGAGCCAATAGCTTTGGCAAGGTCGACATTGATCTTCCAGCTCAGTGCACTCTCGTGCTTGGACAGCTGCGAGCCTTCAATGATCATAAAGTCATACCCTTCTCGACTTTGTTCGTATCGATCGAGAATCTCTTCCACCAGGTCATCCTGTTGCCCATTCAACCAGCTTTCAATAGCTCGGTCACTTGTGACTCCGTAGAGCTGGTTCACGTTCTCAACGTGAAGTCCCAATTGTTCCCGCATGATCTCGACATGGTAGTCCGGCACCCCCGGTTGAATCGGCCGAAAGTACCCGACTTTGGCAAACTTCTGCTCCAAGGTACTGGCCAACCCAATGAGCACCGGGGCCGTCTTTTTCGTCGTCTCAATTGACGTGACAAAGAGGTTCTTGATCGGTACTTTGCCTTGGGCAATCGCAGCAGCAGTGAGTGCTCGAGGGTGAAATGACCCGACAAGAAGGGGCTTATGAACAGCGCGACGAAGCGACCACATGAGAAGAAGCGACAAACGACGGGTTGGCAGGTAGTTGAATCGAAGAAGGTCAATTCGCAACTGATTGAAAGGCTTTCGAGAATGGAGGACCCGGAACTATCAACAACGTGGTGGTTGTTGGTTGTTGGTTGTTTGTTGTTGGATGTTGGTTGTTGGTTTGTGGGTTGGTAGTCGATCAAAGGGTCGACTTCGGTTTGCTTCGATTGAAACATTCGGCAGTCCACATCACGTGCGACGTGGTCGAGGGGACAACGACAATCCACGAAGAGCTCCGATCAGGTTTTTGGAACGAGGTGTCTTCGAAATAGACGGATCCAAGAACGACGTTACACGCGACTGGGTTCCGGCTCTAACATTAGGAGCTCCATGTCGGGAAGAGCGTCACGAGGTCGCGGGAGTTTTAGTTGATTGGTGAGTTGATGTGTTTCTTAGCGTTAGTTGGTACCTGGGAAGACCGAATGGTGGGCTCTGTTTGACTCCTTGATCACCAAGTGAAGGGCAGTTGGTGACTCGTTGATGACCTTCTTCTTGATGGGTTTGTTGCAAGAGTTGACGTCTGGAAACCGTTGAAGGGTAAAAGTGTCCGATGGACACACGACGTCAGCACGTGCCGTGTGTGGGTTCGTGTGGAGACGGAGTGGATAGTCTCTGCGGTACGGCGGTCGACTCTTGTTGCAGTCGCTAGGGATTGGCATCGTTGACTGCTTCGTCGACACCACGCGAGTTTTTGTGTCTTCTGCTTCGCCTTCGGATCGTCCTTTTGTGACCGATCCGATGCGGTACGAGAAGTTGTTGGCGCACTTGGTGAGGTGGACAACCGGGTTGAACTCTACAAGGTTTGGGAACGCATGGAGCACTGTTTTGTGCCATGGCAAGACCACAATGGCATCCTTCCCTTAGGTTGTTGCATGTTTTTGTTAAATGTACGGATGCCCGCTCGTGCTAGAGGATGAACGAAAGCGTGCTGTTGGTCACGTATTGAGCTGCAGCGAAGAGACGACGTGACAGGAAGCAGGAGTGCAAACTGCATGACCGAGACGATGGAAAACCTGCCACGTTTCTTGCACATTTCAGTCGCATGATGATATGACGTTGCTCGCGATCAACTTCGGGGCAGAAGAACACAAAGATTAGACACGTCGAGTACTTGCTCCGACTGCCATTTGTAGCGCAATCGATCGTCCGTGAGCACTGGAACCGAAAAGGGCTGGGAAGCTGTCGTCCAACTAACTCGTACTGAATTGCGTACGCATGGCAACACTTCCGTGTTGTAGGCACTTTTCAGTCGACTTCGAGCTTTACAGTTCCTACGAGGAACTTCTGGACCAGGGATAGCTTTAACACAATGCACTTTAGCTCGTGCTAAGTACACTTGAACCTTCCAGTAGTTCAGCAAACCAGGTAATCGATCCTTTACTACCGAAACGACGGACATGCTTGGTTTACATTGAATCCCTACCACCAGTAAAACGATCACCACATGGACGTGAAATTTGAAAGCTCATACGTACGTAATGCGACACGAAATCAGTCTTCCTACGGTGTCCACTGAAGTGCTCAATCGCTATGCTCCGTCATTTGTAAGCCATGTTACATGACATCGGAGCTGAGTCGTTTTTTTTTTTTTTTTTCAATACTCCCTCGGTAAGGTTGCATGACATCGCATCCATGCAATGTCATCGACAGGAATAGTCGATGGTCGCGGGCTTTTGCGCAATTCCATTTACGCTGACAGAAGTCTCATACATCGACCGCACGTTCACGTAATTTACCACACGTAGCTGTCAACTGCGTCTCGGCAAATGAACTCTTCACACTGTGCCTATAGTGAGAGTCTCTTGTCGTTTCGATGATGCGAAAAGACGGCATCCAAATAGTTACACGAGCATGTGAGCAAACAGCTTCATCGCTTGTCAATGGCAAGGGTCGTTCTCGTCTACGTCGGCATCATCATTACAATGCAAACAGCAGTGTGTCGTTAGCCGAAAGGCTGTTGCAGCTTTTGCTTCCAAATTGAAGTAGCAAGAGAGATATCGTCGCCGATTTGTGTCCGATCACCTTGTCAACTGTGCTTCCTTCGTCCTCCAGCGTATCGTCGTTACAGAAATAGAGTATACAACAGTGGAAGTAGCAGAAGAAGTGCGCAGTCTACCGTCTTGACTTCAGATACGCCAGTCTCGACAATCACGAATGCATCTTGCATTCCACATCTGAATAAATTATCGTCGCTGAGACGCGTACATGTTCCTCATGTTCCGAAAAATCTCGACTGCTTGGTGCGCGAGCTGCAACGACTGCACCTGGACCTTCTCACGCATACGAGCAGACCGAGGTCTTCGACTGCACAGCTCCTGTACACTTTGTTTCGTGATAGCCAATAACCGGACGAGGTCCTGCAGCTCAGGTTGTTCGGCAAGAAGCCCAACGTCCGCATTCGCGTCGACTCCGCCGTGTCTATTCAAATCTTCCGAAGCAGTGTCCTCATTACGGAACGTGCTTTCCGAATCAGCACCTTCGGAGCATACGTTGCCATTGCTGCGATTCACCGAAGCCCGGCGTGACGGCGCATCTTGCACAGGCACATGACTCCCCTTCTGTCCTGCTCGATCTGTTCCGCTTACCGATAGGTCGGTAGCTTCATGGCGCTTTTCCTCATCGACAAGCTGAATCGATGCAGAATGCAGAGCAAGCTTCTCGGAGCCAATCAGCACATCCCGCATAATCAGTTGAGCACGGCCCACCGCGGCAAGGAGCTGCCTTGACGATGATTTCACCATTGTCTGGTCCATGTCATCATCGCTAGTAACATCACGATTCGAGAGTCTCACGTTTTGTACCTCGTTCCTCATCATATGGTTCGTGACAGCTGAGAGCGCCTTTATTTCGCTGCGAATAGCGTATGCATCGCTTAGTCGCAATGAATTCGATATCCTAGTCTGGCGGTCCCAGGAACAAATTGCCTGAACATCGAGTAACTCAGAAGACACTGAGTCGACATCCACTTCCGTTGTACAATTGCTAGAGCTGTGAAGTGATAAAGCAGTGACCTTTCGATCCCAATAGTCCGCAGCGAGACGTTGCTCGACAATCTCAGTTGTCATTTGTTTGTCCACGCTTGACAAGTCGCTATTTAAGGTCTCGCCCGGACTTGTTGACAACCCTACTGCTCCTGGCTGCGAGCAAGCAGTCGTACTCAAACTTCCCCGGCTACGGTCACTATAATACGCATTAGGGTGCGTGAAGTTAACGCCCAAAAGCTGTTCAGGCTCATCAAGTAGACTCACAGACCATAACGCCTGCAGATGGTGGGCATGGAGCTCAAAGATCTTGAGTATGCTTGAAGTCACATCCGACTCAAAAGACATCACCCGGTCTGATGTCATGGCCTCAAAATTATTGGTCCACTTGAAGTCGTTCCATAAACATACGACATTGAGCAGTTCGTCGCAGACGGAACGAAGCAGACCATTGTCATCGTGCTCAAAGTCAAACGTCAGACTTTCCACTTCACGAAAGTAACCGAGCGGGAACATCGCGCCCATCGAAATTGCCTTTGAGCCAACAGGCCCAGCAATATGCGAATCCTTGCAGTTGTGCCGCTTAGCCGGACTTTCACGATAGTTGTACCCCCAAATATCAACGCAAAGGAGCAGTTCAGGCAAGAACTCATACGTATCGCGCAAAAGCTCATCTGTGGCGCTCGGACTGTTTTGATGCCGCTGCTGCTGCTGTTGCCGGGAGTGCTGCCGATATGTGTGTGGAGCCACAAGCTTCAATCTTGACTTGTACACACCCATCTTTCGCTCAAAATAAGCATTATTCAGCGCCATTGGCACCGAGTCTACCTCTTTGCAGGTAGCTAAGCCCTTTAGGCAATACAGATGTGACATCAGTGAATGCAGCTGCACAGCGACGAGATGCAATTTGCGAATTATCGAGTTCATCTTCTTGCGGTTTAGCACTTCGTTGCCTCCACTGCTACGAGCCAGCGAATACGCCACTTCGTCAAACATCTTCATGCGTGCACTAATTTGCGATACCAGCTTTTGCTTCCATTTCAACGCTGACGCGCCTCGGCATCCAAATTCACAGCCCGGCGAGGCCGAGGATTGCATCGGCATACACGCTGCATCAACCTTACGCACGACTTTCGGATGCAGATAGTAGTACGGGTCTCCCTTTGCAATCTCATCCAGCAATTGCTTGTGTGTCACCCTCATAACGTACGACTGAGGATCAAAAGAGGTTATGCTGGATAACATAGACCGAATGAACAGAGGCAACTCACGAGGCCAACAAGGCGCAATCCCTTTTTCCAATTTCACGAGACCGCCCCCTGATTTCGGGTTGCTTTTCGATAAAAGGTTTTGCGCCACGAACGTATCTGCTTTGCTCGCCAAGTCACACGGTACTTCTACGTCTAGCCAGTCACCGTCCTCCAATGTCGTGCCATGCGCATCATCACTATCGGCACGGTGCTTATCAGTCGAGACTGACAACACAGTAGAGTCGTTCACTGCACCTGAGCGCTTGATCGATTGTCTTTTGCCTTCGGTCACTCGATCATCTGCAACACGTTTGACGACAGCAAGAATGCCATCCAACTCAGCCTGTAACGCGTCGACTTTGCTGTAGAGCGTCTGCTCATCTCGTATCGTGATACGTTCGAGAAATCTCTCGAGTCTGTCTAGCAAATCTTGGTTGTGAAAGGCATTTGTACCACGTAAATGAGAACCGACATGACACTTTAGATAGCAAACCGTATCGCACAAGACTTTCAGTCTGCGGTATCGATTGCTTCTGCTCTCCACTCGACGCAGTTTGGCAGCCTGTGTTGATAGTAGTCTTTTTGCAATCACGAAAGCAGCTTCTGCTTCGCTAAGTCGCTTCAATGATTCAATGACATGGTCGTTCATGCCTATGGTGTCAGTAACAACACTTTCACCCGCCGACTGCAAGGGCCTGCCTTCGATCAAAGTACACTGCTGCCCCACAGTAGATTCAACAAATATCGGCACTTGGACAATTGGATCAGAGTCAAGCCGACCACCGTCGCCAACATTTGTGTGGCTATTCTCACGCTCAGCACATATGTCACTACCGAGTGCACTGAGATCAGCCTCATGTCCCGCAGGTACGTCATGACCGGTCGCACTTAGATCAGCCTCATGTCCTGCAGATACGTCGTTACCGAGCTCACTACAGTCAGTCTCGTGCGAAACAGGGAGTAGATGGCTAGCGAAGCCAATTACATAAAAAATCACCAAAAACAAATCGTGTCAAAACAATTGTGTCAGGTATGCACGATCGCGCCACTCATGTACAATCAGAGCTGGACTGTACCTTGGGGAGCTTGACGGCGCAACTGGCTTCTGCGAAAGTGTAAATGCGGTCGCGTCCTCCGTCATTTCAGTACCTTCCAGTACTACCGACTTCTGTAGCAGTGCAGATGCGGTACCGTCCTCCGTCATTTCAGTACCTTCCAGCGCTATCGGCTTCTGCGACAGTGCAAATGCGACCGCGTCCTCTGACATTTTAATATCTTCCAGTGCTACCGGCTTCTGTGGCAGTGCAGATGCGGTACCGTCCTCCGTCATTTCAGCACCTTCCAGCGCTACCGGCTTCTGCGACAGTGCAAATGCGACCGCGTCCTCTGTCATTTCGGTACCTCCCAGTGCTGCCGGCTTCTGTGACAATGCAGATGCGGTACCGTCCTCCGTCTTTTCGGCACTTTCCGGCGCCACGGTCTCCATTTGAGACGTACATGGACTTGGTCGACAACCTGCAGTAGTATTGTCGGTTGTTGCTTGCAACTCCTCTTCATCCACAAACAAATCTTGTTGATCCAACTGTGTTTCTCTCGTCGGACTATGTGGCTCGTTTTCTACGTACGCGTCGGCTGGCTCTTCACCAGCCGTAGTAGCGTTATTGGCTGCTCGAACGTCGTCAGCAGTATGAGCCGCACTAGAGCTTGAGGCCGTAGATTCTTCCTCAGCTAGAATTTGTTCATAAGTGTCCGAACGTTCACGAAAAGCGCTACTGCCAACGTCAGCTACAACGTCGTACAGCTGACCCGTCCGAGCATTTGCAACAGGAGAAAACGTATGCTCACGACTACGCATGCCGTAACTGTAAGCACCAGTCACCCCTTCATCAGCGAAAAATCTTTCGGGCGGAACCCGACGTCGTTTGTGAAATCGCTGGGGCGCACTTTTAACAGGATTTGCCCACTGTCCTGAGCTTCTACATTCAACGCGCCGTTGCTGACGTACAACAGGTACATCTAAGGGACGAAGCTGCGGAGGGTACACGTAGTCATCATCCACTCCCTCCTCCTCAGTCATCCAATCATCTTCTCTGCTGTCATAGGCGTAGTCATACACATACGGAATCCGTTTCCGATAAACACTTGGTGGTGTGACAGCTCCATTCCTTTGCACTTTGCTTAACGGACGCTTCAAACTTCGGCAAGGATGCGGCTGGTACATGGATCGAAACTGATCTGGAATCAATGCTGCACGATCGTAAAATCGCGCATTCGCATCCATAGACTCGTTTGCCTCTTCATGTACTTCAATATCTGCATCGTTGTCGCTTTCCAGCCGACCGCCACCATACCGACTGAACTCTGCGCGTTCAAACTGTTCCGGTGGTCCTTGATACAAACGCACGTTCTGCTGATGACGCAGCATCCGAAAAGACTGTCCACTGCCATTCACAGCAGGAGCAACAGCGTACGCTGCATACCCTCCATCCTCATCACGCCTCTCTCGCAAGTGTTTTCTCGGCACATATCGAACCGAATCCATGCCATCCCGTCGCACACGACCGCGACTTCCACTGTACGGCCACGCCTGATCGCGGTGCTGTACAAAACAAGCACCACCACCGTCATCATCCTCCTCCTCCTCATCATCATCTCCACCTGCGGCCATCGTCGAATGTCTCTCCACCCCCTGCTTCCTCCTCCTCCTCCTCCTCTCCCACTCTTCTGTCTTCTCCTCCACCTCCATCGCCTCCACCTGATTCCGTGTCCGAGCTTCCACTCGTTCCCAATGATTCCCTCGCCCTGGAAACTCCACTGGAGCGCGCGACGCTGCAGCGTCATACAATAAACGGCGCCCACCTCCGTCCACACCACCGTCTCTCCAGTGCTCGTCCCGACCCGTCTCCACCCTTAGCGCCCTCTCTTCGTCAACTTCACTGGCTCCTTCAACCGCTCCGCCCTCTTGTCCTCCTGTAGCCCCTGTCTTTTGTAACAAATACTGCTGCACACGCTCAACCAACGTCTGTAATTGGCTCGTAGCAGCGTCGAGGGCACGACGAGAACAGCCCGAGACGAGAAAGTCCAGCCCAAACCCTTGTTCCAGCGACAGCTCGAGCTCCTGGGGCGACAGGGCGCAGTAGTCGATCGTGCACTGCGTGGCGTGGCCAATGGAATTGACACTGCGTTTGTATGGTCGGTCGCTGTAGAGGTAGGGGACGAGCATATCCGGATGGACCTTGGTGGGTATCCGGATACTCCGCACGCGCGCTCGAGACGGCGGTTCCGACGCGCGCATGGGTCGATAGGATGGCGTAGAAAGTAAAGCACGTCGTCGACGAGGTGGTACTGGCGGCGGTACTGGCGGCGGTACGGCGTCAGGAGCGCGGCTAGCGTCGGCGCTGGACGACGCGGCCATGAGGTCCCGGAAGAGTTACTGGTGGGAACGTGTGTGGTGTGCACCACATGAAGTATCGATCGACCATCACTCTGGTCTGTGCAAGCGTCCGATTGGACGTGTCGCTGACGCGCGTTTCTGGACGGGCAAGCGACGTAATTACGTGCGTTTTAGTTTTTACAGCTTTGTCGCGTCGGGGGTGGGTGACACGAATGTCCAGTCGGTGGCTCGCTTGCTCGATAGAAATGGGAGACGCGATCCGCGGGAGTTAGAAATATCCAGGCCTCGTTTGCGAGGCGAGTGTTGGTTCGTTTCTAAACATGGCCGACCACAAGATGGTGATGATGGCCCGCTTGCGTGCGGCCTTGAGCGCGAGTGACAAGCAGACGCAGCAGTTCCTACAGCCGCTGCTGTCGCTACGAGGGGTCCAGGACCTGCTGCTGACGTTCGTGCAAGACGCGTCGCGGTCGTTTGAAGACTGGGTCTGGGATCCGCCCGTGCGGCAGACGCTCCTTCAGTTACAACAGCAGCACGAGCAACAAGGACCGCACGACGAAGCCGTTTCTAACCCCCACGAGCTGGACCGAGTGTATGCGCGTGCGCTGCACGAGCGCCTGGCAGAAGCGACACTTGCCGACCACGAGAACGAGACGCCGCGGGCGTTTCTCGAGGCTGCGACGGCAGCGCAGGACGAAGGCAAGCAGAAGTTCCATGCCCGTTTCTATTACGCGGCTAGAAATGCATTTCTAAAAAGCCTCGATGCCGTCGAGAAACACCAAGTGAGTGAATATTATGGGCACAGTGTACCACCGAGCAAGTGGGACGACGACGAGATCCAAGCATGGTATGTCCAGCTCTGTACCAACGTTGCAATCTGCAGCATCAAGTTAAAGGACCTCGCGCTGATTCAGGAGTACGCTACAAAAGCGTTAAGTGTTGATGAAACGTCGACGAAAGCGCTGTATGCGCTGGCTAAAGGGCAGCTGATGGAGCACCGGCACGATGAAGCCGAAAAGGTGATTGAGAAGGCGCTGGGGGTTTATCCGGACAAGGCGCAGTTTCTAAATTTGCGGAAAGATGTTGCAGCAGCTCGACGAAAATGGGACTTGAACCAGGCAGAAGTGGCTACACTTGGTGCTTCTCAGTTAGCAGCGGCTGCTGCGGTGGGAGACACGATCCACTTGACTGCTTTGACGCCGGAGGAACAAGAGCTGCAGTATGAAAAGGAGAGGCAAGTACGAGTCGATGCGACTCGGTTGCCAAGTCGAGAGGAAGGCATGCAGTTGGCAGCCTCGAGGCTGCATGTGTACTTTATGAAGATGAAACAACAGATGGCGGTAGAGATTCGACCGTTGCACAATGCCGACGCTGGTGAAGAGCCGCTTTTTGAGTGCACGATCGCGAATGGGGAGACGGGGGAGGTCCTTGCAAGTGACGTGCAAGGCCCGTCGAAGAAAAGTGTCAAGAACGAAGCGTCTAAGATTGCACTACACAAGCTGTGGCACGATAAACAAGAGGCAGGTAAGCTTTTACCGGAGGAACTGGCTGAGTTGGAGAGATTTGAGAGCGTGAAAGCAGGTAGCCAGATGTTAATGAATGAGCCTGCAGTGCCGACGGAAGCCAAGCAGCCATGTGGTAAGGCGGGTTCAGGTAACGACCCACCTCAGGTTCCGATCCGGATTACCTGTCTCGAGCGGCAGCTGCAACCGCTTCAGTTGCTGAACCAGCTCACTCAGCGAGGAAATCTTTTGGCCCGTTTCGACATCAGGGATGTCTCACCAAGCAAGGACGTCACGGAATTTGAGTGCAAAGGCTACCTGAATGACGAGTACGTTGGTGCTGCTACTGCTATTAGCAAGAAGAAAGCTCGTGCGGAAGTCGCGCGACAGATGCTCGCAGCTGCTTACGAGCAGAACCTGATCTTTGTTTACGATGGGTCTACCGACAACGAGGATGAAGATGGAACTTATGATGGGAAGGACCTGGACAGAGACGAGCAGGGATTGGCGAGTGACGCGTAAGCGAAAGTTATATTAGTTCATGAAGAGCGCGAGGTGTAGCGAAGCGAGTGCATCTTGCGAGATCGGTCTGGTGATCGCCTGGTTTCGCATCATCTCCGTAGTGGCGTTGGTTTTTTAATATTTGCAGCACAAAAAGCTTCTGCTCGTGATTAAAACCAAATGTCCAAGTCTCGTTCTCTTTCTATCTACATATTTATCCATTGTTTCTGCTTGTAACCGCTTCTCGTCCGTTCATGGGTTTTGCTAATTTACAGACGTCAAACGCGCGCGTTCTTCTTCTCGCCAAATCTCCTACCTACCTAAATGCTTCAAAACCGCTCAATCCGCATGCACGTCGAGCGAGAGCTGATACACTTTCTGGGCCCGACGTGCCCGTTGAAAGTACATGACACTCGTCCCAAAGACGCACAAGTACAAGAACGACGCCAGGAAGACACTTGCTGCTAACGACGACTTGGGTTTGCCAGCTGGCGGTCGAGCTTTGATATACAGCGAGTTGCTGGCGACCATGCAGCCCACGATAAACTACCACAAAAACACAGTGAAAAGCAGCACAAAGCACACAAAAAGTCCCATATTCCGTAAGTGATTCGATATCCGTGCTTAAAATCTTCATAGAAAACACCACCAACACAACAAAGAAACACAGAAATAACCACTACCACATCGTACGACGTACAAGCAAAAAGAAGCCAGTAAATGAAAACATCGCGCACCAAATTATCCCTACCCAAGTAAATTGAAACCCCACAAAAAACCCCACAAAAAAGACGCACACAAAAAAGACGTACACAAAAAAAGACACACACACAAAAAAACATCCATTAGTCCAGTCTATTTTTCATCAAATGGTGCAATCATTGACAACCGACGCACTCGCCCTGAGAACTCCCGCTAAACGAGACGTACCCGGATGTGTCTGGGGTCCCTGACTCGATCCCATTGCCAGCAGCTCGTCCAGATCTGTCGCGTCGCCAAGATCACTGACGTCACTCGGAGGCGAGCCCACGTGCAGGTGCTTGAGGTTCGCGTACTCGGCTGCTTTGCCGCCAGTAACGACCGCCACCATGTCTTTGCGATCAAATGTTGCCGTCATTTCCTTGCGCAAGTCTCCGTAGACATTCTTCAAGCGCGACATAGGGAGGGACACAGAGAAAGAGCCAGCGCGCACGCACCCAGTCAGTGTGTCGATTACTTATGGGGTACTTCAGCCACTAGTGCGTGGTAATATGAGTAATGGAACGTGACGCCAAAGACGGAACTAATCGAAGAATGGTGCTTACGACAGGACGACGACGACGTCAGTTATGGGATTTCTCTGCGTGGTCGGGAGTGTGACGGTCAAATGGCTTCACAGTCAAATGGCTTCACAATCAAATTTGGCTTCACAGTCAAATGGCTTTACGTGCTAAAAATAGATGATACGATTACCAAAGCGCAACTGACGTCACTCACATCCCCACTATGGCTACATGCACATCGGTTGCTATTGGCTCAATACACAACACCCAACCACAGCCTCCACTTCGAATTACAGCGAATCACAACACGACAACGAGCAGCACAACCGCAGCCCTACCATAACATTCCCACTCGCAACCGCAACATTCCCACTCACAACCGCAACATTCCCACTCGCAACCACAACATTCCCCCTCGCAACTGTCACATTCCCACTTTACCTTTCGCGATCCCGTCCGTCTCCCCTCAATAGAAGGATCTCCAGCCAGTCACAATCGAAAACGACGTCAGCCCTCCTCCCTCATCCACCACCGCCATCGATCCGTTCATGAGCACCCAGAGCAACGTCTTCTCGGCGCTGCAGCCCGAGAAACGCAGCAGGAAAAAAGCATCCGACGCCGCGACGACGGCCGCGCCCAACTCGATGTTCGCCTCGTTTGTCAATAATCCGTCGGCGACGACCGCGTGGGGGGACGACAGTGACGAGGAGGTACACGTACCCCCTACCCCTACCCCACCAGCTGGTAATCAAGAAGAAGAAGAAGAAGAAAGTGCAAGTGAGAGTGAGAGTGAGAGTGAAAGTGAAGAAGAAGAAGAAGAAGAAGACGAAGAGCGTATCAAGCCCGTGGCTGCTACTGACGGGAAGAAGGCAGTGGTTGGTCCGATTCGGACGCTGTCCAAGAAGGAGAAGAAGGAGCTGGAGATGCAGGAGCTGGACGCTGCATTGGCCGCTCTGGGTATTGAGCCGGATTCAGGAGCTGCTGGTGATGATAAGCCCATGAAGCAAAAGGAGCCGGACGTGGATTTGCAACAGGTGGAGACTGGGTCTCTGGACAAGAAGAGCAAGAAGAAGAAAAAGGGCAAGAAACCGGCAAAGACGAGTGAGTCGGAGACGTCGGTTGTTGGTGCTGCTGCTGCTGCTGCTGCTACAGGCGTTGTGGATATCAAGGCAGTGATGAAGACCAAGAGCAAGAAGAAGAAAGCTGTTGAGCCCGAAGCCGTGCGGATTGCTCGGGAGGAAAAGACCAAGGGCAAGAACAAGGGCAAGAAGGATAAAAGCAGCTTTAATGAGTTTTCCATTTAGAAACGCGTGGACAAGAAGGCGATGGGGGGATAGGGAATGGGGCTGAAGCAGGGTTGAGTTGAAGTTGGCTTGGTGAGGCAGTTGTGGAAGCTAGGAAGCCGTCTGGAAGAGCGCACTTAATTTGTCACTGCTGGCTGTGGTCGTGGCTTGTTGTCAGCTGAAGGCCGTGCAAGTCAAGAGCTGATAGAGATAAGCTAACTGCTTTGCGTCTATCCTTCTCCCAGACGTCCAGCGGTTTTGCTTGTGGCTATCTCGCACGCGGTCAGCAGTAGTGGTCACATCATGCAGCAGCAGCAGTTCCGAAAACGTGCTGGAAGCAACGTATGTCAGTGATAACTACTACCTTCCTGTCGATAATGAATTCTTGAGACTATTTGATTGTCCGTACATCCCACCCAGCGGGGTAACATTCGTTTGCTCGTTCACGTCAATGCGTTATCGATCCAATCGAATCAAAGCATAGTGTCGCATCTTTCCAATTCAATTGGTTCCGTCCAAGCCAAACTTGCTGCGTTTGTCATTGACCCTGCATACATATATAGATACATATCCTCTGTGCTGTGTGGTTCGTTCCCGTCAAGTCCGGTTACGCAACGTCAACTGGTGCAGGATGAATCAGGTAGCTCAACTCGTCCATGGGCATTGATATCAGACGCCATGGCGCTATCACGGTAGATGCTCCACCTCGTTTCTTCCACCATTTTGCCAGTTTTCTAAGAAGAGACGGTGTTTCTTGACACCTTTTGCAATGTGGATCCTGCAGATGCCACTGCTTTGTCACGACAACGCCAGCCACAACGCCAAGTAACAGTCCAGCCATGAAAAAAGCATGACGGATACCAACACTTGGGTTCATGTAGCTCCAGAGCGATGGGTGGACTGGATGCGTCGTCCGCCTTGATAATAGTGCCATGTACCGCTTTTGACGCGTCATATCTTGCTTCAAATGGGTCACCACGTCTTTGGCCGCGTTTTGAAGCCACCGCGACGATGTCATGGACGCTGGGAGCTCGTCATTTTCCATTATATTGCCGGCTGAAGCACTTCTTCCTCGTACATCGTTCATAAATAGCAGCGAATTAGACGGTATGGTCGCTTGAAGCACTTCTTGATCAGCGAGTGAATGAACGCAGAGACGATTGACATCCACTTGAGCTAATACGAGCCGTAACAAGCTGTTCCAAACAGAAAAACAGATGGATTCGGCATGAGAATAAAAAAAAGCAGCCACATTTTTTCACAGTGTTTTTCTACCGAACATAAATTGCAATCGAACATAAATTGCAATCGAGCATAAATTGCAATCGATCATTCAGGATCCTCGCGATCATTCCTTGCAATACAAAAAATACATGACAGTTTTATAACGGCGAGATATGACGTACTGTTCAGCTTGATTGGCACGGTCTGTGGCACGACGTGCACGATTCTGAGCCAGCAATAGCGCGTCGCTGATGCGGCGCATGGAGCTCATGTCTAGCTCTGAGATGGTACGACGACGGTGACTGGGCGCTGCCATGAAGACGATCAGGCAGGACGTAAGATACGTCGTAGAAGGAGTGTGACGCTTGAGAGCGCGTAATTTATCGTTCGTTTTGGTTGGGAATTGAAAACTATTTTCGGGAATGTAGGTAAACATAGTTCTACTTGTGTCGGTGTAATCTTGCCCAATGTAAAATACGCCAACTTTTCCTGGAGCTTAAATGTCGCGGGTTCAGAGACAGTTCGTTGTAGGAAAACATATGAAGATCATTTACTTTTGTAGTTCATCAACAAGGTGGCTGCTATTCCAGGCTAACAGTAGCAGGTCAACTAGCAATCGTCAACAGTATCAAACCAAGAGACGCATCAGTAGCTGATGATATCGCTTTGAGATGGCTAATCCATAGCGGTTGTCCACCACCTGTACAATTATCCGCCCACCATAAACAGCTCAGTTCCAACAAGCACCACAAAGTCATCAAAGGCTTTTTTTCTCGGGCCGTCACACTTCAATGAGCGTCAACTTTTTGTAATGAAAAATGCAGTTGGATCGTCGCCGAACTTGCCGCTCAAACTGCCGCTATAGGTGTCACTTGCCTACAGCCGCGGAGTCATAACATCCGATGGTGGGGCTACTTCAAAGGGCTTCCGTGGTGGGTTCAGCTGCGATGGAGCCGGGAGTGAAGTCGGGTCCTCGTGCTTCTTCTGAGCAGCCAGTGCGTCCACTTTTTCCTGCACGCGACGTCCATAATCTTCATCACACTTGGTAAAGTTCGCAATTGCACGAGCCTGCACTGGTTTCGACGCGTTCACGAGCGAAGTAGCAATGTTGTCTGTAAGATGCTCTCGACCAGCAGCATCCAGCGTCTTGCGGTAGAACTCACCAACTTGCGAGTAATTGTCATCGTCATACGTCGAGTACTTGTCCACGACTGAAAAGTCGCCGCGGTACGCGCGGTGACGCTGCGACGTGTCTTCAGATGGTCCTCCTTTACTGTTTGGATAGTAATTCGGAGCTTCGTACATGTTGCCATTGACAACCATAGCACCGTCGCGCTGATACGTCTGAGGTACTTTCAGTGGCCGATTCACGGGAATCTGAAGGTAATTCGTACCCAGCCGGTGACGCTGCGTGTCCGGGTACGAAAACAGACGACCCTGCAACATTTTATCCGGTGATGGCTCAATACCCGGTACCATGAACGACGGCGAGAACGCGAGCTGCTCAATCTCGGCAAAGTAATTCCTGGGGTTCCGATTGAGTGCAAGGCGACCCACTTCAATCAGCGGGTAAGCACTATGTGGCCAGGTCTTGGTCACGTCAAAAGGGTTGAACGTCGCTTTGGCCGCCTCGTCCAGGCTCATCACTTGAATATACAGCGTCCACGACGGATACTGCTTCTTAGCAATAGCTTCATAGAGATCTTGCACGGCATAGTCCGGATTCGAACCTGCCAACTCGGCGGCCTTATCCACGGACAAATTGCGGATCCCCTGATCCGTCTTAAAGTGGTACTTGACGTACGACGTCTCCCCTTTTGCATTGACATTACAAAAAGCATGACTTCCGTAGCCATTCATAAACCGGAACCCGTCAGGGATGCCCCGATCCGTAAACAGAAAACTCTGTTGATGCAAAGTCTCAGGCCGTAGCGAGAAAAAGTCCCACATCATGTCGGGATCTTTTAAGTGCGAGTGGGGCAAACGCTTCTGCGTGTGGATAAAACTTGGGAATAGCATCGGGTCCCTCACGAAGAAAATCGGCGTGTTGTTCCCTACTAGGTCCCAATTGCCCTCTTCCGTGTAAAACTTAATAGCAAACCCTCGAGGGTCCCGCACCGTGTCAGCACTGCCCTGTTCACCCCCTACGGTCGAAAACCGAAGGGCTACAGGCGTGCGCTTTCCTACATTACTAAACAGCTTGGCACTGCAGTACTTGGTGATATCAGCGTGCGTGACTTCAAAGTACCCAAAAGCTCCACCGCCTTTGGCGTGCACGACCCGCTCGGGAATGCGTTCGTGGTCAAAGTGCGCAAGGCGGTCAAGCAGTGTAAAGTCTTCGAGCACGATGGGACCGAGCGGACCAGCGGTTGTGGTTGTCGTGAGACCAGGCGACGGAATCGACGTCCCGACACTCGTGGTCGTCGTTGAAGTTGGTGTTTCCGTCATTGGTTTGCTTCACAAATGACGACTCGGCGGTGTTTCAATGGGGTGCGCACTAGCTGGCAAATTCAAGAATGACTCGAGTTATGAGATCGCGTCGAGGCGAAAGGTGGCTGTCTGTTGTAGTCTAGATGTATGTATACTGACTCATCGAGCGGGAAAGGCGTTTCGTGGTACTGGTAATGGCTTCTTTGGAGCGGTCGTTCATGATATATCACTATTCGAAAGGTCGTGGTCACAGCCGCTAAGCTGCATCGCAGTTTCTGAATTCGATTGTTTGCGTTAGAAAAGTAGCGGAAAGAAACGCTTGGCGGAGTATGTAACGGAGTGAATCGTTACATAACAATTTATAAGAAATTGTTTATAGAATATAACTATAAGAGTTGTATTATCAGAATATTGTCATAAGGACAAATATTCTGTAGCACTTACGAGTAGTTCCTAATTGGTTGATATAGGCCATTATATCAACCAACGAAGACACGCCACGACAGACGCACGCAATGAGTGGTGAGCAGATAATCGATTTACACATTTGTATTTAGACTTAGTTAGATGAAGATAAATAGTGATTTAATGCAGACATTAACTATTATAAATACAGTTCTACTTTTTACTTTAACCAAGTACTCGCTTCTTCTTACCGTCTTCCTCTGCACGTACGAGTGTACGTGAAGTTACGAGGCACCGCCTTATTCTGTCATCAGAATAAGTAGCTTGTACTGTCACCAGTACAAGCTTCAGGGTGCCCCGTTACACCTGGTAGCACTTCGTAGTCCGTCCAAGGACCGCGTTCACATCCAACATGAATATGTTGGACGATGAAGATGACCAAAGCTTTCACGCTACGCGTGACGGCTACTCCCATTTGAGCGATGTCGAATGGGATGCGGTTGAACGAAAGGGTTCGACCATGGGCATCCATGCTAGAGGCTCTCAATAGAGATGCCCAACATGCTACTATCGCCAAGTTCATTCAAAATGAACTTGACGCCGAACGCGAGAAAGTAGCCTTGCTTCACCAACAAGGTTCTTAACAAGCAGAGTTGTTGAGAGAACAGGGTGCTCAACAGTTTGAACTGTTGAGACAGCAGCAGGCTGCTGCTGGTGGGTCGATGCACTCGCGTCGACCCGAGACTTTGAAGATTGACATCTCTAAGTTTAGGGGAGTCGAAGAGGACTCCCTCTTGAGATGGTTCGTCGAATTGGATGACGCCATAAGGGCGCGTCGCATCGACGACGGGGATATGCAAGTTGCATTTGCCCAGTCAAATCTGGCAGGACGTGCCAAGACTTGGGCACTGGGGCTCAAGTTGCACGACCCATATGCGTTTGGGTCGTTGGAAGTCTTCAAGTCGCGGCTCAGACAAACGTTTGAACCGCCTAGAGCTGAGTTCAGGGCTCGAACCGAACTCTTGAAGCTCAAGCAGGGTAAGCGTGATGTGCACGCTTACGCTCAACATATACGACATCTCACGAGTTGTATAAGTTCCAATCCGGTGGATGAACACACGTTGGTTTCGGTGTTCATGCAGGGTCTTGCGGATGGTCCCGTCAAGACTCACCTGTTCCGGCTTGAACTAGATTCACTAGAACAAGCCATTTCCATTGCGGAGCAGGAAGACTTCAGTCTGAGACAGGCTCGCGCCAGCTCGACATCATATCGTCAACCGAGACGATATGACAACGGAGGTCCAGAGCCGATGGAACTCTGTTATGTAGAGAGCGAGAAGGCTCGCTCTACAGGCTACAAGAAGTTGCAGAGATGCAACAGATGTCAAAAGACAGGACACTACGCTTACGAGTGTAGTGCCCCTCGTCCAGTGTCTCGCGACACTGGGCGTAGTGACCGTCCACCCATGAGAAAGGGGCAGGGACGAGGGTCCGCAGTTGGTGCAAAGACGCAACAACGGGATGGACCGTCAAAAAACGGACAGGATCAGTAGGTGCGGAGCACCCTACTGGTCCAGCAACGTCAAGAGAATTTGTAGGCCTCTTGATGAAGGTTGCTCCCAACACACAGACGTTGTGCGTTGCTGCTCTAGGTAATGAGGTCTCACTCGTTACCTTGAAACTCGAAGTGACGAATAAGTTGTCCCTTCGAGCTCTAGTCGATTGTGGGGCGTCCAACAGTTTTGTGCAACGCCAATCGCTAGAAGATGGTCACTTTAAATTCAGTGAATGTGACACACCTCCTACGAGGATGACGGTACGTCTTGCGACAGGCGCATCCGTAACCGTCATGAAGCGTATAGTGAAGATCCACTATACTCTAGAAGATACCCAATATGACGATGACTTTATCGTATTGGATTTGGATGACAAATTTGATGTCATCCTTGGAATACCGTGGCTCAGAAGGTACGAGCCACGGGTAAACTGGCAGCATCGAACAGTAACGATGCCTGCCGCTTGTTCATCAGATGGCCATCTGATGAACGTTTTGGAGCGTCCACAAGCGTGTGGATGTACTACGAGTGAGTGCGATGGCCTCACTTGTGGTACGGTCGTTAGTACGACTGCACAAAACCTTAGTGTACCAAACGGTTACACTTCGGAGCAAAGTTCCGGCGGCTGTGAGGAAACACAGGCTGCGCCGAAGGTCCACCACTCGAATAAGTCGGGTGGACTGGGACAAAGATGTATCCCTAGCGGGGAACATCTAGAAGAGAAACAATCGATCACTCAGGTTAAGCGAAACGATAATCCTAGATCGACTGGAGAGTCTTTCGTAGAGGATCTCGCTGTGGTTGCGCAACCACAGCTAGAGGAAGTAAAGGGAATAAGTCCCAAGATTACAAATACGGCGGAAATAAGTTCCCCGAAACCCGCGGGAATAAGTCCCCGGGAAGCCGAAGGAATAAGTCCTTCGAAGCCTGAGGGAATAAGTCCCCAGGAAATGACAGAGACATTGAATGTCATAGCCAATAACGGATCAAGTGTAGGCGCTTATACACTTGATCTGATTGCGCCTCCGAAGTTAACTTCGGAGATCACTCAGTTGCCAACGCTCGAACATAAAAGGTTCTTGCGTGATCTGCGTAGTGGCAAAGTCAAGCAGATCTGCATACTCGTCGCTGACGACGAGTGTGTAACCGACATAAGGTCAGCAACAGTGTTCACTGAGAACAAGAGAGTTCTCAGTAGTTCATCTATGGACGAGAGTGTCCTAGATGAAAAGACACGAATTGAGCGATATGACTCCCAATCGTGGGAATCGCTCAAGAAAAATCCTCTCTATGAAGATTTGGTTGAATTCAAGGATGTATTCCCTGAAACTGTTCCGTGCGAATTACCGAAGGATAAAGGTATTCGACACGAGGTCGAGCTTAAACCAGGCTCGAAGTACTGTGTCATGAAGCAGTGGCCACTGCCTCGTGAACAAGTACTTGCGATCGACAAGTTCTTTGCCGATCGTTTAGCAGCGGGCCATGTGAGGGAATCAACTTCTCCACATAGCTCTCCGACCTTCTGTGTGCGAAAAGCAACAGGAGGGTGGCGGATAGTGCACGCGTTCAACAAATTGAACGCTGCAACGGTACCGGCTCAGACGCCGATACCGAGGAAGGACGTAATCATTGATGGTATGTCAAAGAGCACCATCTTTTCGTCCATGGATTTGATGGATGGCTTCTATCTAATCCTTATGCGGGAACGGGATATACCCTATACCGCAGTTAGCACGCCTAGCGGCATGCTCTGGGAATGGCTAGTAATGCCACAAGGGCTCAGTAATACCCCTGCCACGTTCAACAGATGTGTATCACATCTGTTGAGACCAGTACGAGAATTTGCGCCGAGTTATTTCGATGACGTATTCATCCATAGTCGAGCTATGGATGGAAAGTCGGACTTTGAGGTTCACAGGTACCACGTCCGACAGGTTCTTACAATCATGCGAAAGCATCAATTGTATGCTAACCTCAAGAAGTGTATATTTGCAGCAAGCGAAATACCACTTCTTGGGTGCATCGTTGGTAAGAACGGTGTACGTCCTGATCCCGAAAAGATCAAGGCGATCACCGACTGGCCTGTGCCGGTCGATGTCAAAGGTCTTCGAAAATTCCTTGGGCTAGCGGCGTATTTGCATAAGTATTCACGCAATTACGCCGAAATGACTGTGTACCTCTCTCGTTTGTTGAAAAGAACGAGAGGTGGTTATGGAACGCTGAATGTCAACGCTCCTTTGAGGGTATCAAGCAGATCTTGATACAATCCCCAGTCCTAGCAATAGCCGATCAGGACAGGCCATTTCATGTGGTCTGTGATGCCAGCGATTTCGCAATCGGCTGTGCATTAATGCAGTACGATCTTGAAGGCGTTGAACGCGTCGTCTGCTATCAGTCGCGTCAGCTGCAACCAGCTGAGCGGAACTATCCAGTGCATGACAAGGAACTCCTTGCCATGAAGTATGCACCCGCGAAGTTCAGAGTCTATCTATTAGGAGATAGACCCTTCATTGTTTACACTGACCATGCGTCGTTACGCACGGCAGTGAACAGCCCGCACCTTTCACAACGAATGGCGCGGTGGTTGTCATTCTTTGCAGAATACAACTTTACGGTCGAGTACAAACCAGGACGACTTAATGTCGTCGCTGATGCACTCTCACGTCGTCCCGACTTTGAAACAGTCGCGAAACCCAACAGTGAGACAGTCACTGTTGCGGTTATGACGTCCTCAGTACCATCTACAACGTTGTATGATGATGTGAGGCGGGCATACGCCCAAGATGGTGAGATTGTGAAGTTGTTGACACATCTCTCCCAACCATCTCGAGAATCGTTGAAACGATTGTCGCCTGCGTATCGATCTGCATCAGATCGATACACTACTCGTAACGGTTTACTGTATTATACAGCCGTTTCTGGTGACACACCACGTGTTGTCATTCCAGATGATACTGATCTGCGCTTGCGGATCATGTTCGAGTATCACGATGCTCCTATAGGAGGACATCGTGGCCGAGAGAAAACATATCTCACGGTAAGTCAAGACTTTTACTG